GGGAGGGAGGGAGGGAGGGGGGGGGGGGGGGGGATCAAATAGAAAGACAGGAAAACACAGAGAGATACACGGACAGAGAGGCAGCTCTGGGATATTGTCCCGGGAACTGCCGGGTTGGGCCCCCCCCCCTCTCCTAGGGGCATATATTATTACATCTCTGGTCACTCGAGGGATTAACTTGGTACCATGACCGCGGTACAGTTGGTTGTGTTCCATCTACTTCGTGAACACTGAGCATACTATGTGTGTGTGTGTGTGTGTGTGTGTGTGTGTGTGTGTGTGTGTGTGTGTGTGTGTGTGTGTGTGTGTGTGTGTGTGTGTGTGTGTGTATTACTGTAGAGAAGACAGGCCAATAAGAGTCTACCTCGACGTGTTAGGCTTAATTGCCTCGTCAATCATGAGTGCGTCTCGGTACAAGGCTCTGGAAACAAGCTCAAACAAGTTCTTCTCTTGTTGTCTAATAGGATAAGGATAAAGAGTTTGAAACGACTCATAGAGGGTCGTATCGTGTGTGTATGTAAGACCAAGAGTATGGCAAAGAGTTTAGTATGTAGACTGGTAGAATTATTCTCTCTTAGTAGACATAGCTCTGGCTGTCTACCTTCTGTGGTTGAGTGCTCAGGAACTCGCTATATACACTGTATGTTGTCTGACAGCTCTCTAACCTTGTCCTCAGACGACAGAAGAAAATGTGTAAGGTTCAGACGATGAGTCACAATAACGTGGCTGAAGTATGTTGACCAGACCACACACTAGAAGGTGAAGGGACGACGACGTTTCGGTCCGTCCTGGACCATTCTCAAGTCGATTGTTAGAGTTAGAATCACAATCGACTTGAGAATGGTCCAGGACGGACCGAAACGTCGTCGTCCCTTCACCTTCTAGTGTATGGTCTGGTCAAAATGTGTAAGGTGTCTTAGTACAGTTGGCTTCATTGTTTCGTAACGACTCTTGTAGCGTGAAGACTGCGTGAGCGCACTGTTATCTCTGCCACAGAGGAATGTCGCTCCCTCCGCGATAAAGACACCAGCTTCTCCGTCCTCAGCACCATATTTACGTCACTCTGGTCACGGGACGACGACCGTGATGGTAACGCCGCTAACAACGTTGTTGGTGAGTGACCATCAGCGTTACTGGTGGCGGAAGGGTCCTGCGCGGGGCACTCACGTTGAGTCCCCCGCGTGTGTTGGATGAACTGTGAAGGAGAACCCGTTAAACTGTCGCTCATTGTCTATTATCTCCCTTCTTCCCTGGCTGGAGAAATTGGTGACCTGGAGAGCGTGCAGAGATCCTCTACTGCTAGAATCCACTCAGTAAAACATCTAAACTACTGGGACCGACTAAAGAGCCTAAATCTGTATTCTCTTGAGCGCAGGCGGGAGAGATACATAATAATTTACACGTGGAAAATAGTAGAGGGGCTGGTCCCAAACCTGCACACAAAAATAACAGCAAATGATATTAGAAGGCATGGCAGGATGTGCAGAATACCCCCGTTGAAAAGCAGAGGTGTAACAGGTACTCTGAGAGAGAACTCTATCAACATCAGAGGCCCGAGACTGTTCAACACGCTTCCGCTACACATAAGGGATATAACTGGCCGACCCCTCACAGTGTTCAAGAGAGAACTTGACAAACACCTCCAAAGGATACCTGATCAACCAGGCTGTGACTCATACGTCAGGCTGCGAGCAGCCGCGTCCAACAGCCTGGTTGACCAGTCCAGCAACCAGGAGGCCTGGTCGACGACCGGGCCGCGGGGTCGCTGAGCCCCGGAATCACCTCAAGGTAAGGTTCCCTCCTATCCTCTTCCTCGCGCTCTCTACATCCCCCTTCCCTCCTTACCCTCCCTCCTTCTCCATACACCCGTTCCCTCCTCTCCCTCCAGCTCCTCCTTCCCTCTACCCTCCAGCTCCTCCTTCCCTCTACCCTCCAGCTCCTCCTTCCCTCTACCCTCCACACTGGGGCCCACAACGCCTGGACGGGGCCTCGGGTGAGTGAGTAGTCCGGACACGTCTCCCGTGTGAGGCCAACATCAGTCTCCCCGCAGCAGTCCCGCCGGGGCGCAGAATGCCAGTAATCGATTACTCGTCATCCACCCGACTATCAAATTGCCATCACGCGTCAACCAATCCCAAGACCGACCTAAATGTAGGGAGATAATGATTGGTTGCCGCCTGTTACCGTCCGGGCGCGGGTGGGCAGTTGGTACTAGTTAGATTACAAAGGTTGTGGTTATTCTCACTTTTGCCCAACACCGGTGGTGGCGACACTGGAAGACAAGAGATGCATCCGGGTGAAAGAAGCTCTGCCCATTTGATTCCGTCTCCGCCGGGAGTCGAACCCGGGCCCTTAGGACAACGACCCCTAAGCGCTATCTACTCCGCAGCGAGGCCCCAAACTGTACTCACCTAGTTGTGTTTCCGGGGGGTTGAGCTTTGCTCTTTCGGCCCGCCTCTCAACTGTCAATCAACTGTTTACTAACTACTTTTTTTTTTCTCCACACCACAGACACACACACACACACACACACACACACCAGGAAGAAGCCCGTGACAGCTGACTAACTCCCAAGTACACATTTACTGCTAGGTAACAGGTCCATTCAGGGTGAAAGAAACTTTGCCCATTTGTTTCTGCCTGGTACGGGAATCGAACCCGCGCCACAGAATTACGAGTTCTGCGCGCTATCCACCAGGCTACCAGGCCCATAACAGGACACACAGGAGTGTGTGTGTGTGTGTTATTTGTAGTTTCTATTTGTGTTAGCAGAATCGAGCTGTTATATAGTTCCTGAGTCCCACCTTTCTCTCCATGGGTTGTGTGATATAGTGACTCCTGACACCAGCCAGGTGAGAGGAGTGTCGAGAAGGCGCCCCTCCGCACCCCCCTCACTCCCCATCCCCCCTCACACCCCATCCCCCCGCCAACCCCTCACACCCCATCCCCTCACACCCCCTCCCCCGGCCACCCCCTCTCACCCCCTCCCCCCGCCACCCCCTAACACCCCCTCCGAGAACACACACACTAATATAATCCCGCTACTCACTGATAAATCATGTCGCCAATTAACTTAATAGCTCCATTGAGTCGAAATTTACCGCCACTAGGTCTGCATTGGTGTTAAACTGACCGACTAACATGAGGATGTGGGGGCGGGGGTGGCTGATAACGTGGGAGAGGGAGAGAGAGAGAGAGAGAGAGCGCGCGTGCGTCCAGTAGACACTAACTAGGGTCAAAGGTTACTGATATAGCCGGAGCGCTGACCGCTCCTGCGCCGTTAACACGAGGACTCCCTGGCTTCTCCCGTCAGGAGCCTAAAGACACCCTCGAGGCCCTCCACAGGCAGGCCGAGCGGCTCCTGAGAGTTCTCCGGAGCGACAGTTGTAAGAGGCGCCTGGCCTGGCCCGGGCGAGGGTGGGTAAGGCCGGCGCTGCGGGAGGACATGAAGACGACTTAATGACAGCAGAAGAGGCTTCCGAATGGAGGAGCAAGGAACGGCCTACTGTTTACAGTCCTCTCATTGTTTACTGTTTTATTCCTGTTTACAGTCTTCTCCCTGTTTACAGTCCTTCTCTCTCTGTTTACCGTTCCACACTCTTAAACAAAGTGTGGGAAAAAAATAACTTCGAATATACCATATATGTACTTATTCATAAGCCAAATATTGACTATAAGCAATAAGTCATATATGTGCTGTCTCGTGCGAGAGCGGGTTGCAGTATTTGGGTGGGTGACCTCGTGGGAACACCAGATGCTGTTGGCGCTAAATTTCTACTGGTCCTGGTAGCTGAGTGGACAGCACTCTGGGGTTCGAATAGAACCCCGAGTCCTGTGGGCTTGGGGTTCCGTTCCTGGTCGAGACAGAAGCAAATGGGTAGAGTTTCTTTCAACTGATGCGTCTGTTCACCTAGCAGTACATAGGGACCTGGTAGTTAGACAGCTGCTACGGACTGCATTTATGAACAAACGGTGTTCACATTACGGTGTTCACACTACGGTGATCACACTATAGTGTTCACACTACGGTGTTCACACTACAGTGTTCACACTACGGTGTTCACACTACGGTGTTCACACTTCGGTGTTCACACTACAGTGTTCACACAACGGTGTTCACACTACAGTGTTCACACTACGGTGTTCACACTATAGTGTTCACACTACAGTGTTCACACTACGGTGTTCACACTACGGTGTTCACACTACGGTGTTCACACTACGGTGTTCACACTATAGTGTTCACACTACAGTGTTCACACTACGGTGTTAACACTATAGTGTTCACAGTTCACACTACAGTGTTCACACTGCAGTGTTCACACTGCAGTGTTCAGTGTTCACACTACAGTGTTCACACTGCAGTGTTCACACTACGGTGTTCACACTACGGTGTTCACACTACAGTGTTCACACTGCAGTGTTCACACTACGGTGTTCACACTACGGTGTTCACACTACGGTGTTCATACTACGGTGTTCACACTACGGTGTTCACACTATAGTGTTCACAGTTCACACTACAGTGTTCACACTGCAGTGTTCACACTGCAGTGTTCACACTGCAGTGTTCAGTGTTCACACTACAGTGTTCACACTGCAGTGTTCAGTGTTCACACTACGGTGTTCACACTACGGTGTTCACACTACAGTGTTCACACTGCAGTGTTCACACTACGGTGTTCACACTACGGTGTTCACACTACGGTGTTCATATTACGGTGTTCACACTACGGTGTTCACACTATAGTGTTCACAGTTCACACTACAGTGTTCACCCCTCAGGCTGTCGTATAAGAATTAAAGACTGATCACACTCCACATATAAATACATATTTAACAATACAGTGCTAATAATATGATATATAATTGTAACCAAAACTTTTTACCCAATCCAATATACATATGTAGACCCAGTGGCCGCCACACTTTCCCAGACAGGCCATATGTAGCGAAATATGTGGCCAAATATGTGGCCATATATGTACCCATATATGTACCGTGGACTGCGAGGTAACTTGCAATTGCTACATGTGTGGTAATGTCTTGTCGCTGTTGCCTGATTATGATGAGATGATCTGAGGTGTGCTTGTAACTGGCACTCCTCAGCTTGTAACTGGCACTCCTCAGCTTGTAACTGGCACTCCTCAGCTTGTAACTGGCACTCCTCAGCCTGTAACTGGCACTCCTCAGCCTGTAACTGGCACTCATCAGCCTGTAACTGGCACTCCTCAGCCTGTAACTGGCACACCTCAGCCTGTAACTGGCACTCCTCAGCCTGTAACTGGAACACCTCAGCCTGTAACTGGCACTCCTCAGCCTGTAACTGGCACTCCTCAGCCTGTAACTGGAACACCTCAGCCTGTAACTGGCACTCCTCAGCCTGTAACTGGCACACCTCAGCCTGTAACTGGCACACCTCAGCCTGTAACTGGCACTCCTCAGCCTGTAACTGGCACTCCACAGCTTGTAACTGGAACACCTCAGCCTGTAACTGGCACTCCTCAGCCTGTAACTGGCGCACCTCAGCCTGTAACTGGCCCACCTCAGCCTGTAACTGGCACACCTCAGCCTGTAACTGGCACTCCTCAGCCTGTAACTGGCACACCTCAGCCTGTAACTGGCACTCCTCAGCCTGTAACTGGCACACCTCAGCCTGTAACTGGCACACCTCAGCCTGTAACTGGCACTCCTCAGCCTGCCTGACAGCCGGTAACAATGCACCGGGTGTCGTCGCTACAAGCCAGAGCGGATTTCATTAAATACGGTGTCCACCTCCCCCCCCCCCTCCACCCCCGCCCCCGCCCCCCCCCCGTCATCTTCATTGCATTAGACTGGTGGGTAAAGCGTCGACCATGATTGTGTTGCAGGAGTCGACGAACCATCCCCGATGGTGCAAGTGGCTGCGCACCGTGGATAGTACCCCTATCCTCATCTATCCCTGCTCCTGCTGGACCTTCCAAGGATTATGGGTATATATATATATATATATATATATATATATATATATATATATATATATATATATATATATATATATATATATATATATATTACTATGGCCTAGTCCTTTCTCCTCACCATTACCTTACCTAGACGACCGGGAGAGGCGAGGCCCAGGATCTGAAGCTCGGCGCTATTCACAGTTAGGTAAGAAGCGTCATTAATACATGATCTCCCCCTTCCCATCACCCCTCCCCCCTTCCCATCACCCATTCTCACTCCCTCCAGCCGACAAATAGGGCTCTCTCCTCTCAGTCTCCCCTCCCCCTCTCTTCCCCCTTACCCCTCCCCTTCTGATGGGCCCCCGTCATACGGTACCTGGTAATATGCTCTGATTGCAATAGGGAGTGAGGGGGTGGGGGTGGGACGTAGGGGGTGGATGATGAGGGGGGGAGAGAGTGGGGGGGGGGAGGAGAGTGTGCCCCGTGAGTGCAATAAACTAATAGAGTGCCTGAACCAGGAGCGTCTACTCGGGGTGCCTGCCGCTCGTTTTCATGCTATTTGAATTAATGGCTCTGCTAACATGGCACTCGGCGCGGGGCCGCTCCCGCAGCTCTTCGTCTCTGGTTCTTGACTTTTCGGACGGAACGTTTTAGTCTCTTTTATCGCCTAATTTTTTGGCAGTATTTTTGCGTTCAGTGTGAGGAGGCGAGGCTGGAGGCGAGGCTGGAGGCGAGGCAGGAGGCGAGGCAGGAGGTGAGGCAGGAGGCGAGGCAGGAGGCGAGGCAGGAGGCGAGGCAGGGAGTGCGCTGGAGGGCAGGGGAAGCCGTCCTGGGAGTGGTTCACTCGTGTGGGGTAACAGCCGATCTGGCCAGATTTACCCCTCCTCGCTTAGCACTGCGACAAAACAACCAAACGTTCCCCTTCTTCCCCTCACTCTCCACCCCTTCCCTCCCCCTCATTCTGCAACCCCTTCCACCCCCTCTCACTCTCCACCCCCTCCTTACCCTCTCCGCCCCACCCCCATACCCAGGCGTTGCTCCTTTACACACGCCACCAATAACAAAGGACACTCCTAGACAACCTGCCCCGCTACAGTCTACACGTCAACAATACCTCCCACATCAGCCATACACTCACCTGCTCCAGCACTTGGCAATCATCAGCTCCCCCTTACCCTACCCACACCCTATATCCCCTCTTCAGAGCACTCCTCCCCTCCCCATCTATCCCCTCCCCTTCCCTCACCGCCTCAAGTAATCCCCAGAGAAAGCGGAAATCGGGTAATTTTGCTGGGTGCGTCAGGGTCGGCAGCGACGCAGTGTGACATCTGGCGGCTGAGCGAGTAAATGATCTCGGAATCCATTAGGTTAGAGTGCGATTAAGAGCGAGGCGGATAACGCCACTCGCCTCACGTGGCGTCAGCAGAAGCAGCAGGAACGAGAGCAGGCAGCAGGAGAAGAAGCAGGCACAGGAGAAGAAGCAGGCACAGGAGGAGGAGCAGCAGAAACAGGAAGCAGCAGAAGCGAGAGAAGCAGCAGGAAGGCAGCGTCTTGTGCTCCCTGAGCGCACCTTCGGACCAGTTGTGCTGACGGCGCCCCGGGCTTATCTGGCCGCCTACACGTCTACCGCCTGATAATTGGCCTTTCCGAAAGAGGGGAGACGTGGAGGATGAGGGGAGGATAAGGGGAGGCGTGGAGGGTGAGGGGTGGCAGGAAGGGAAGGGGAAGCTGAGATGAGGGGAGGCAAAGAGAGTGAGGGGAGGTTAGGGTAAGTGGGCGACGGTGAGGGGAGGAGTGGAGGGCGAGGAGACGCTCATAGGAAATGTTTTATTGTTATTATTTTCTACCACAGACGTGGCCAGACATTTACAATGCTAACCAGCATATATTATTTTCTACCACAGACGTGGCCAGACATTTACAATGCTAACCAGCATATATACATTTTCTCCTGTCCTCCATGGACAGGGTGAGAGATGTGTTAAACATATATATAATTCAGTCATTTGTTGAACAATCAACCGTAGACGGTGATTGTGGTGCTTTCAAAATGTCAATCTAACCCACATACATAAATACACAGATTTACGTCTGTTTTACATAAACAGTTTTCGAGGTATCGAGTTACATGTTATAAAACATATATATATATATATATATATATATATATATATATATATAACCTATATATATATATATATATATATATATATATATAGTAGCCTGAACGCAGTACTTGGCCTACTATGCAAAACCCGATTTGCCTAATAAGCCAAGTTTTCCTGAATTTATATATTTTTCAATTTTTTTCTTATGAAATGATGAAACTATCCATTTCAATATGTATGAGTTAATTTTTTTTAAATTTAAGTTAAAACTAACGTAGATATATGACCGAATCTAACCAACCCTTCCTAACCTAACCTAACTTATCTTAACCTAACCAAAACTATCACAACTAAGTAATGTTTTTATGTTCTAAGTAAGTATGTTTTTAATATAATATAATAACAATAATTCAAATATACTAATTGAAACAAATTTATTGAAAATAAAGAAAATCACTAGGCCTATTAGGCAAATCGGGCCTTGCATAGTAGACCGAGAAGTGCCTTCTGGCTATTAAGTAGACATATATATGTATATATATATATATATATATATATATATATATATATATATATATATATATATATATATATATATATATATATATATATATATATAATTATATATGATCACTTTAACTATAACCCCTCAGAGGATTCGAACCCTGGCTGCCTTGGGTCTCCCCATCAACAGCACTACTCTGACCACTGCACCAACGATCGTTTCCTTTCATGCCCTCTTGTTCTACTGGTATTCAATGCGAGTGTACTCACCTAGTTGTGCTTGTGTGGGTTTAGCTTTGGCTCTCTGGTCTCGCCTCTCAACTGTTAATCAACTGGTGTACAGATTCCTGAGCCTATTGGGCTCTATCATATCTACGTTTGAAACTGTGTATGGAGTCAGCCTCCACCACATCATTTCCTAATGCATTCCATTTATTAACTACTCTGACACTGAAAAAGTTCTTTTTAATGTCTCTGTGGCTCATTTGGGTACTCAGCTTCCACCTGTGTCCCCTTGTTCGTGTACCACCCGTGTTAAATAATCCATCCTTGTCTACCCTGTTAATTCCCCTGGGAATTTTGTATGTGGGGATCATGTCTCCCCCGAGCTCTTTTTCTCTTCCAGCGATGTGAGGTTGTGTTTGGGAGGGGGGCTGACCTTCGCCTATATAAAGGACTGGGGGGGGAGGGGGAAGGGGGGAAGGGGAAGGGGGAGGGGAAAGGTCATTGGTCCAATGCTCGGCAGACCCGCAGGATGTTATTTATGGAAGAGTGGCGTTACAGGCAGCTTTCCTTCTTCCTTGTTCATTGCGGCTCTTCTGCCCCCCACCCTCAGTCCTCTCCCCCCCCCCCCCCCGCCCTCAGTGTTCCCCTCCCTCCTTCCCTCCCTCACCCCTTCCCTGGTCATCACAGCCTCGTCGTCCCCACTTTTCTCTCTCTCCAAATAATTTTTTCTCCCCAAACATTATTATCCCTTGAAATACCATAGTCTCCCCAAGCACTGTTTTCACTCCCCAAGCACTGTTTTCACTCCCCAATGCACTGTTCTCTCTCCCCCAAGCACTGTTCTCTCTCCCCCAAGCACTGTTCTCTCTCCCCCAAGCACTGTTCTCTCTCCCCAAGCACTGTTCTCTCTCCCCCAAGCACTGTTCTCTCTCCCCCAAGCATTGTTCTCTCTCCCCCAAGCACTGTTCTCTCTCCCCCAAGCACTGTTCTCTCTCCCCCAAGCACTGTTCTCTCTCCCCCAAGCACTGTTCTCTCTCCCCCAAGCAGGTTCAGGTCAGGGCAGCGCCCCACGTCGCCTACCCCGGGCACCGGGTCAACCCTTGCACAATATTGAGACAGAGAAGGTGAGCCAGGTTAGAGTTACACACACAAAATAGGACCACCCTCAATTTTTGTCCGCGGGGTTGGTGAATAGTACGTCACTGTAACCGCCCACTGTGCCCACCCCCACCTATCCCCCTTCATTGTCCCCCCCCCTCCCCTAGAGGAGGGACAGGCGGCGAGGGACACCTCGCCTCACTCTGGCTGGGGCAACGGAGCACAAATATCTAGGGTACCTCACTGGCAGGTGAAGGCTGACCGACACTGAGGAAAAGACTTGACAAGCACTTGCGATACACGAAGGGAAAACAATACCAGCCGTCAGACTTATATGTCAAATCCATCGTGAAACCTGAGGATGATATCCCTGTACCACATTCAGGTTATCTTGAGATGATTTCGGGGCTTTTTAGTGTCCCCGCGGCCCGGTCCTCGACGAGGCCTTCACCCCCCCAAGCACTTAGGGATAGCCTAAGTTGCTCTGTGCTTTTCGGATATATTTTATTTCTCAATAAACTTACTTGAACTTGAAAGCAATATACCATAGAGTTACTTGTCCCCAACGTCAATAGTCCCAGAGGCCCAGGTAACAAACCCCCCCCCCACCCAACATCCCGTACACCCTCTCCCAAGAGTAAGGGGAGACATGATAACCACCTGTAAAATTCTCAGGGGAATTGACAGTGGACAGAGACAAACGCTTTAGCACGGGTGGAACACGAACAAGGGGACACAGGTGGAAACTTAGTACCCAAATGAGCCACAGGGACGTTAGAAATAATTTTTTCAGTGTCAGAGTAGTTAACAGATGGAATGCATTAGGCAGTGATGTGGTGGAGGCTGACTCCATACACAGTTTCAAATGTAGATATGATAGAGCCCAGTAGGCTCAGGAATCTGTACACCAGTTGAATGACAGTTGAGAAGCGGGACCAAAGGGCCGAAGCTGAATCCCCGCAAGCGCAACTAGGTGAGTACACCACTCCACCCCCCCCCCACACCCGGAGGACACTCCTTGCCTCGCCAGGCTTGTGTTACACCCCCGGCCTCTGACGCAATACGTCATCATCCGCCATAATTACACGGCGCATTAGAGTCTTTAGGTCTTGTGACATAGCTGCAGAAATCACAGTTATGACCTTGTAAACAGTTTGAGGGATGTCCCACACAGCGTCCACCTTCAGCCGCGACTAGACTGGTACAGTTTTTTTCATTAATACATTATATACATCAGCATTTGTGCAGCTGCCCTAGATTATATAAAGGGGAGTACAGTGTGTCAAAAACCCAGCCACGTGATGCTAAAAAAATCCCCATCACACAGGATGGTTAGTCATGCAGAGGCGTGTGATCAGTAGTCTGTACTGGCACACTCTGGGTGCATTATGAGGATATCATCATTAACACAAGAGTGAATAAAGCAGCAGTGGTACTAAAAATCCCCATCACACAGGATGGTTAGTCACACAGGGCCACATGTTCAGTAGCCTCCACTGGCAAGTTGTGAGGATATCCTAAAGAACACGAGTGAATATAGCAGTTGGCCTGCTGTCAGCCCGACGCCCGCCTGTCCACGGACCACGGGAGCACAGGGATCACTTTTGGCACGCGTCCTGTCTTCTGCGACCCTCCACCTGTCTCCAGCCCGTCACATTCCTGCTCCTGCGGCGAGGTCATTTCCCGCTGGTGATATAATCCCGGTTTTAATTAATCAGCGTGACAAAATTTAACGTTCATAGATATAGCGGCATGTTGATTTGTCCATCTCTGTAGTCAATTACAGGCGCAGTTAGGCGCGAATTTGTCCTCCATCTTGATGACGACTCAATTATTTATGCCTGTCCAGCGGTCACTGAAACTCCGTGCCTATGTCGCTCTGTTGCTACCGTGGCAAAAAAAAAAAAAAAAATCATGCGACCTTGTAAATTCAATAATAATGGGGACTGGCGCAGTGAAAATGGGAGTTTGACCATGATACCTTCAGCCAGGTTAATGTGACGTCTCTATGGGGACCACCTCCTGGCTACCCCCCCTCCCCCTTGTCCTGCCCCACGTCAAACCCCACTACTCAGAATCAACCGTCCAATTGACCTTCTTTCCCCCCACCCCACCCAACCCCACCTAACCGCACCTTTTTTTTCTTGGGGGGGTGGGGGGGGCTCTCACCCTCCCCATCTACCAACCCCATTATCAGAGCCAATCAGCCAATACCGATCTCCCTCACACCACCACCACAACCACCTGGGCTCCACCACGGGCTCCACCACCACCTGGGCTCCACCACGGGCTCCACCACCACCTGGCACCATCACCACCTGGCCACCACCACTCCTTCACCACACCCCCCTTACTCACCCATAATTCCTATCTCTCAAACCGTATAACTGCATTGGCGGTAGTAAGCAGGAGGGAACTGGCGAGTGAAGGAGTCGTTCCGGAGGTCGTTAATGCTCCGCGGGGGTCATTAAACGAGGTCATTCAAGGTAATAAACCGAACATAACTTTTGCCTCTTTATTGGTGCCGTTTTTCGTGTTAGGGAATGACACATACCTATACGGAGGGGGGGGGGGTGTTGGTGATACCTAGTTGTGCTCCTGTTGAGTGGAAACATGATTGATCATGGTCCTGTGGAACGTGGCCCTGTAGAACGTGGTCCTGTGGAACGTGGCCCTGTAGAACGTGGTCCTGCGGAACGTGGCCCTGTAGAACGTGGTCCTGTAGAACGTGGTCCTGTAGAACGTGGCCCTGTGGAACGTGGCCCTGTAGAACGTGGTCCTGTAGAACGTGGCCCTGTGGAACGTGGCCCTGTAGAACGTGGCCCTGTAGAACGTGGCCCTGTGGAACGTGGCCCTGTAGAACGTGGCCCTGTAGAACGTAGTCCTGTGGAACGTGGCCCTGTGGAACGTGGCCCTGTGGAACGTGGTCCTGTAGAACGTAGTCCTGTAGAACGTGGCCCTGTGGAACGTGGCCCTGTAGAACGTGGCCCTGTAGAACGTAGTCCTGTGGAACGTGGCCCTGTGGAACGTGGCCCTGTGGAACGTGGTCCTGTAGAACGTAGTCCTGTGGAACGTGGTCCTGTAGAACGTAGTCCTGTGGAACGTGGTCCTGTAGAACGTAGTCCTGTGGAACGTGGTCCTGTAGAACGTAGTCCTGTAGAACGTGGTCCTGTAGAACGTAGTCCTGTGCTTCATGATCGTGACCTTATGGAACATGGTTTTGATCCTATGAATCATGGGCGTGATCCTGGTGAACATGACTGCGCAGGTAAGCGTCCTGGCAGGTTATGGGGAGGAGAGATGGGTAGGAAGAAATTGGGATAGGACAAAAAAAAAATGGGATAGAGGATACAAGAAGAAAAAGAGGGTTATGGAAATAGGGGGAAAATAGTGACTGTGAAAGCCTGCAGAATAACAGGTGGAAGATTAGGAAGATGGGAAGAAAAACAGGGAGGAATTCAAACAAGATTATGAATGAAAAAAAAACAGGAGAGGAAAAACAGTATTGAAATAGGCGTAGAAAAATTGGTGGAAAGCACAAATAGGAAGAGGGGGGAGGGAGAAAATACAAGATTAAGCAAAAATTGCAAGATAAAACAGAAAAAAACGAAGGGGGGAAACGAGAAATAAAAGGGGGGGGGGGGGGGTAAGCAATTGGAAGAAAAACAAGGGGAAATCACCAGGGGGGGGGGGGGGGGGGGGGGAGGTACAGTAACCTTATACCCCATGCTACAACAGTCTGGTTGACCTGTCTCATTGTTCCTCTTAAATCATCATGCAGTAACCTTATATAGCTGACTGTTAAGTGAGAGTCACCTGTCACTCTGCCATTTGACTGTCAACTGTCACTCTGGGCTAAGTGAGGGTGGTGTCGTCCTCCCCCGCCCAGTGCGCAATAAAAACTGTCTAACTGTCCCTGACAAGAATGGTTGACAGCAAGGAAGAGGGTGGGAAGGGAGGCAGGCCTGTGGGGCAGGGAAGGAAGAGAGAGAGAGAGAGAGAGAGAGAGAGAGAGGAGAGAGGAGAGAGAGAGGAGAGAGAGAGAGAGAGGAGAGGAAAGGAGAAAAGGGAACAAAGTGGGAGAGAGGGGAAAAGGTTGGCTGAGAGGAACAGCGGGACAGATAGGGATGTCTAAATTAAGTGGGTAAGGGGATAGGGGATGGTAGGGAGGGATTAGGGACGGTAGTCGAGACGGAAGAGGAGAGTGAGATACACATAAATACATTTACGCATATACATATTCACACATACATTGGTACACACACACACACACACACACACACACACACACACACACACACACACACACACACACACACACACACACACACACACACACACACACACACAAAGGTAGCTAGACCAAAATTATGTAAATAGGAGGAGCACATGTACTCACACACATGTATACAGGAGAAGTGACGGAAGCTAATTCAGTAAAATATTTAATTTTCATAACAATAATATAAATAATTAAATTTTACCCCGAGGGGCGAGTTGATTGGGCAGCGCCACTCATCCTATGAATGGACACATCGCCATAGCAGCATGTGCAACACTCCCCAATAGGAAGAAAACCCACTGGGTTGTTCATCCTGTCATTTGTACCCAGACACAGCTGGGACTTGCTTAACTGTCTTAAGTGAACAGCTCCTCAAATAAGAAGATTAACATCTATCAACCCTTAAAATCTTACGTTATCTTGCGAGTGCAAAATGGGGGAATCTTTTACGATTTTTAATCAGCCGCATAGTTAGATAATTATTTTCGAGGTTAATTGCAGGTCTCGAGAGCTAGCGCTCGACCATTTAGGTGAAGACACATTAGGTAACGCTACACAGGTGCCAGCGGGTCGTCACCCGATCCTGCCCCATTGTCAAGCTAGCTAGTTAATTAAGGAGAGGGAGGGCAGGAAAAAGGAATTCTCTGTCAGTTAAGCGGGTAATCTAAGCCAAGCGAGGCGCCCGGGGCCGACTCTCACTTGATCCCCCTGACCAGCAGCCTCGGGGTGACAAGCGGGGTCCTGGCTGGGGTGTCCTGGCAGGGGTGTCCTGGGAGGGGGCAGGGGTGTCCTGGGAGGGGGGTGTCCTGGGAGTGGTGTCCTGGCAGGGGGTGTCCTGGGAGGGGGTGTGTCCTGGCTGGGGTGTCCTGGCAGGGGTGTCCTGGCAGGGGTGTCCTGGCAGGGGGTGTCCTGGCTGGGGTGTCCTGGGGGGTGTCCTGGGGGGGGGTGTCCTGGCAGGGTACCTAGGTGCTGATCTGAACACACACACACACACACACACACACACACACACACACACACACACACACACACACACACTCTCTCTCTCTCTCTCAGCAACGGGTCATTTTAGTGCCTGTGCTTCATATAATCAGTTACCTGTGAACAGTTTTATATCTATAATTTAGCCTTACATGCATTTGGTGTGTATGTGTACTCACCTATTTGTGTTTGCGGGGGTTGAGCTCTGGCTCTTTGGTCCCGCCTCTCAACTGTCAACTGGTGTACAGTGTGTGTGTATGTTTTGAGGCAATAAACAGCCTACAGGCGCTTGTAGCCTGTTTCACGCTCTCGCTAACAACCTCAGGTAATTTTGTTCTAACTGTCAATCAATGCCCATTATTACCTGACGTCATAATTATGTGTTTCAACAAATTAAAAAAAATCGTTGGTATTTTCATCAAATGCTTTACTGTGACCCACGCAGTTAGCGACCTCAAAAGCCTCATATCTTTGGGTAATTCTTACCAAGGAGTGTTTCTTGAGG